GTATGTGTGTGTGTGAGAGAGAGAGTGTGTGTGTGTGTGTGCGTGTGTGAGAGAGAGAGTGAGTGTGTGTGTATGTATGTGTGTGAGAGAGTGAGTGTGTGTGTGTCTGCAGCAGCAGCACTTCCGCTCTGAGAGACACGCGCGTCCACGGACACACACCGACACAAAGAGAGGTACACAAGCCTTCGAACCCTACAATATACCTCACATTTCCATTATATTTACATCAGCGCTGCGTTAGGACGCCGTCGTTCTCGCCTGTACGGTAAGGGTCCGAAACATTCATCCATCGACGGCAAACCACGAGCCTCCAGAGCTGACGACACATTTACTGTGTTTTTACCAGATACATTCACCGCGTTTGTGGGATGGGGTGAAGTTGGAGTTCGTCGAGGCGTGTTTGTGCGCGACTTAATTCGGTTTAATCTCGTGTCATGGGCGCGCGAGCACTAATTCGGCTCTGTGCGATCAAACAGAAGTGACGGACTCGCGTCTGATCGGTTTACGGTTATTTGAAGCTGAAATGCGGAGCGATCGCAGCAGGGTCGCGCCGTGTTGTTGATCTGGAGTTAAAGGTCAAACCCGCGCCTGTACACTTTACCCATCGATACATGGTTACATGCATGCATTGTTACACCCTTTGCACAGTGTTACATGCCTGCGTCGATACGTTACATTCACTCTTCGTTTTACATCATTCTTCTCATTGCAGTGTGTGTGTGTGTGTGTCTTTCATAGATCGGGATGTCGGATGAGGACTCGCGTGCCAGCTCTAGTTCATCCTCCTCTTCCTCCTCTTCCTCCACCCATCAGCAGCAGGAGAAAGACACATCTGGGAAAAAGAGAGACAATAAAGCCAACATGAGCAAGACCTCCAAACTCCTCTCCACCAGCGCCAAGAGGTGAGCGTGAGGACGGATCCGGGGCCGGGGCCGGGGCCATGTCCCGAAGCCAAGGCAGAGCCCAGTTACTCGGACACTTCACAGGCGGCGCCGGGTTTTCTGTCAATTCCGTGGCTCTGAAGCACCGTTTAGTGAGCCGTAAAGATAAGCAACTATTGAAGACTACAGTGATTATTTCAGAATAGAAACGAAAGCTGTAATTTTCTCATTTCAAATGCTCCATCAGACAAGGACCAAACCAGTTTTTTGGTGTGTGATTTCTTGGGGATATTAATGGTCCTTTTTGTTTAAAGGAATTAAGTGTGTAAGAAGAACGCAGAACTGTAAAAGAACTAGAATTTATGGTAAAATATTCCATTTGAACGGTTTGCAAACAATATTAACAAATGCACACATTCACAGTTAGTCATATGCCTAATATGTTGGAAACGGCTAAATGTTTCTTGTCACATTCAGTTGAATGAATCACTTTAAAGCCTATATTTAAACAAAATTGAAATCTGACGAGAAAAGTTGGGTAGTTTGCATCATTGGATATTGCTATTGGTCATACATTTCTATTATCTTAAAACAGTTGTCAAATATTAAATGCTTCGCTACTTCGTCACACTCTTTCATTGTTAAAACTGATGCCCCTTCTGTGAACCGTAGCCAGCCTTCTTTGATTTGATTGGTCATCTCGATCATGTAAAACTTTTTGTCATCCTAACGAGACAGAGCGGTGCATCATGGAGTGCAGTACAGCATGCAGCATAAAGAGTATTAAATACTGGAGGAACAATGTGGCCTGATCTGATTATTGGAGGTTACTAGCCTGCCATCAGATGCCATTTTTATCCTTTCATCAAACACAGAACCGCACACACACACAGGATTGTGGGAGGCAGCAAATGATACTATTAACCTGCATTTGTAAACCAACCAAATTAAGGCATATTAGTATACTGCATTCGTTAGACACCTTTATGGCATACTGTTATCTTGTCAGACAGTGTTTTTTTTTTAGCTTTCAGACAGCAGCTTTTACTTTGAAAGAGCTTTACTCCAAAACTCATAACTGATATGATCACAGACACAATGAACATGCTCTTCCAGAATAAATTGGTGCTGCTTCTAGACTGCATTCTAGGCATCCAGATGCACCCATGTTGCCTAGAAGTGCTGTTTAGGCAAGCAGCTTGTTAGGGTTTGACACGGCCGTCATTTGCTTCCACAGTACTTTATCGAGATTTATTTGGATGTCAGAGTTCAGAGATATTCATGGGAATCATGTGTCTCTTTTTCAGGATTCAGAAAGAGCTGGCTGACATCATGTTGGACCCGCCACCAAACTGCAGGTGAGGAAATGCTTTGCATCTCTTTGATATTCTCTGGATGCATTCGTGGGTTAGGATCATGCTTGGTTGATGAACCATAAAGCAACAAACTTCATGTGGGATCTGCTACCTGCAGCAAAAATAGTGCTGTCACATTAGTGAGATTTAGGTGTGAATTGCGGGCAGAAAGTCAATAGTGTAACTATGAAGCACATCTCACACAGAAGTCGCTTTCAAAACCAAGCATCGTTCTGTTAGTGAAGGTGACGACTTTGTGTGTGACAAGCGAAATCTGCGCAAGGAGCTTTTTCACCTTCATGCAAAGAGATCATGCATGGATTCCTATTAAAATGACTGTAATTCGCCCATGCAATTTCACCGAGCAATGGCAAACGTGACCGCGCTTTAACTCTGGTCTGGGCTGTATCTGTGACAGCGTTTCCTCCAGCTCTCGAATTTCTGTGGTTGGCATCAGTAGCATGTTGTAATGCATTTACGCAACGGATTCGCAGAGGTCAGAGAGCGGCTGATGCTGTAGTACGGCAGTGTCATGCTCTGCTTAACCCGACTCAGCCGTGAGGGATAAGCGTGGTAACTCTTTATTTTGCCTGTTATTAGAAAATCAAGAAAATGTGTTGTGAAAGTCACCATGAGAGAGCTGAGGTGTGTGTGAATGGAGCTCCTGTCTAACCCATGAACACCAGAACAGCAAGATCTGATACGGCTTTGTGGTTTCTAATTCATAAGAAGTGTAAAAATACCTTATTTTGGCTGCAGCTGTCAGTGTTGTATGGTGATATTGATACGATGTTGGCAGGGGGATAAGCGGCATTAGTGCGATTGTGTTTTGATGAGTCTGTCGTCCAGAGCTTTGACCTTTACCTCTGACCTCAGTTATCTAATAAACCTAAATGAGTGATTGTAGATGGGAGGCAAATGCTGCTTTTTCTGTGCTTCTGAAGGTAATTGTACCTGACTCAGAATTGCACAGCTGACACACCTCGTCTTTAAAACCACTCGTCATCTTTAGCATGTGTTTATATGCTTCAGCTCTCGCGTCCTCTCACATTTATTAGCTGCGTGGTCTGACTCGCTCTTTTATCTTGAGGCGTAAGAGTCACATCTCTTCCCCTGTAATCCTGCTTTCCCCCGTGGCTTTCTTCTCTCTTATCTTGATTTATTAGCAGCGTTTGCTAAAGTCAAACACATGCTACAGCACTAAGGCTTGTGTTACTCTTTCATATTTGAAGTCTTGAAGGAAGTGGTTGTTGCCAACGGTGACACTCGTCTAGTGTGCACACTTGTGAGACGCCGCAGCAGATTTTGAATTAATTTGAAAATTGATATTTGCATGATGGTAAGTCTGTGGTTGTTTGGCTCTTGCTAGATGTTTGTGAGGATGTTCTGGGTGGTCAAGAAAAGACCTGTTCACCGCAACACAAATGCATTCAAATTCGGCCTGATTTTCGGCAGACTGGCTCAATAAATAAAGCAAGCTAATTCTCTCAGTAATACCCTGGTTGTCCCCAGTGCACAAAACACTAAGCAACTTTCTGTTTTTGGCACCCACTTGTTTCAGACATGAAAGGAAATCAAACCGTATATACAATTTAAAAACATTTTTGTGCACATAGTTTTATGCAACAGCTCTGCAACAGCTCTGGGCATGTGACCAAAAGTGTGAATCTTATTGGCTGGCCAGCTTTATTTGCAGTGCAATTAAAAGAGATTAAAACATCAACAGCAGGAGAATGTTGTCGTCTGTCTGAACAAGTGCATTAACAATTGTTCTTTTAAGTTATAATGTTTATTGCACTGGATTCTCTCACCAAAATTTGCCTGGGTGTGCACAGACCTTGTAATGTAAATGAACAATGTGTGCTTTCTCCATGTCACCTGCCCTCAGATCTCCTCATGTTTTTACCAGTCAAAAGTCAGATATGCCTGCTTATTTGATATAAATACATCCGGCTTTCAAATGTCTGACCGATGAGTTGTTTATTTGCTTGTCTTATTGTCCACTGAATGAAAACCATGAATCCAGTGGCATAGAAAAGTGATAGCTCTTCTAAGCAAACCACATGATTTGAGATACAATACAATTCATGTCTGTAATGAATTAAGTGAGTGTGTGTGAGCGAGCGAGTGAGTGAGTGTGAGCGAGCGAGTGAGTGAGTGTGAGCGAGCGAGCGAGTGTGTGTGAGCGAGTGAGTGAGTGTGAGTGAGTGTGTGTGAGTGAGTGAGTGAGTGAGTGAGTGAGTGAGTGAGTGA